TTTTTTTTTTTTAGTAGAGATGGGGTTCCACCATGTTGCTCAGGCTGACCTTGAACTCCTGGGCTCAAGCAATCCACCCGCCTCAGCCTCCCAAAATGTTGGGATTACAGGTATGAGCCAGTGCGCCTGGCCTGGGGGAAAATTTAGGTCAGGACTTAGGTTAGAGATGGCTTGTCAGGATCAAGGTTAGAGATGGCTTGTCAGGAACAAACGATAAGAAAATATCTGAGTTTCCCCCTAGGCAAAATACAACCTGGGGAAAATCAGTCATCTAAAATCTAGGTCTCAGAGCCCAGACAGCCAAGGAAAGGTTGAACCTAGAGAATGGGCAGTATGGTCACAACATCAGGGGTAAGAGACTCTAAGGAGAGGATGTTTGGTCAGAAGCTCATCTAAACCATATATATGTGAAGAGAAAAGGGATTTGTAAATAAACAAATAAAAATCCCGTCATAGTTCATAAGGAAGAGTAACTCTACATTCTAATCATATGCACACAATGGGGATTTAATAAATGCTTGTAAGTAAAGACAGAGAAAGAGGCTTACATTACCTCTGAAATCTTTCTTCTCAGTTTCTCCACTGGAGTCAACTTTTTTTTCTTCTTCTTCACCCTCTTCTTGCTCCCCTTCTCCAAAAGAGGCCATATGAAGTACACCAGTTTGGGACAATAAATTCTTCAACTGACTACAAAGTAGATCCAACAAGGATTGAACTACTTTGGGACTCAGTTTATCGGCATAGGTCCTATGTGAAATAAAAGAAAAAAATAAGCGGCAAAAACACAGAAGGCAAACATAGTGCTTAAATACATAAAGCAGAATAGAGGGAAAGGGGGGATTCTAAAATGGAGGAAGACCAGGCCTCATACAGTTCTACAAAGACATCTACCATACTTACCCAGTAGTGATGGCTAGAATCTGGAGCAGCCTTGTACTGGCCACTTTCAAAGCTGTGCTAAGCTGGGAAACACCCGTCTTTGGCAACAACTGCAGGGGCTGTCCTAGCATGGTGTCTGTGCCACACAACTGTGACAATACGTTTAGTAGACCAGTGGAAATTGCCAAAGAAACATCTACTGGTTGATAATGAACACTTAGGGCAAAAACCGTAACCAGAAGGAGACGTTGCTGGGCTTCTAAAAGACAAAGAGACAGTTAAGAATCTTTCTTTCAGTAAACAAAATATTAAAATGAATCATTTTCTAAAATATTAATAATAACATGAAACACTATTTTTAATTATTTATTCTTTACCTATAGGTTTATCTACTAACGTTAAACACAAAACATAGAACGTAACTAGTACCATAACCTCAGGGTAAAATGTAACCTACACTGCGTATTTGCAGGGACAGTTTACTTACCAATGTGATGCTTGTTTGCTTGCAGGGCTCTTTCCAGGGTAGCAGACAACTGTTGATAAATTTTATGCACAGCTACCTGGATTTCAATCTGAATATTTCTTTTAGCTGCTCTGATCCCATCCTGAATTACACATAAAGATTTACTTTTTCTATTAGCAACAATAATACCTGCTTGCAAAAAGAAGTAATAACATTTTATTTCTAGTCTATGCTAGAGCCTTATGATGGTTTTTAATTATTTACTATATTTCACTATATAAAAGTATATAATAATTTTTTTTTCTTTTTTGAGGCAGGGTCTCACTGTATCACCCATGCTGGGGTGCAGTGGTGCAATCCTGGCTCACTGCAACTTCCACCTCCCAGGCTCAAGCAATCCTCCCATCTCAGCCTCCCAAGTAGCTGGGTCTACAGGCACATACCACCACACTCGGCTAATTTTTTGTATTTTCTGTAGAGACAGGGGTTAGCCATATTGTCCAGGCTGGTCTTAAACTCCTGAGCTCAAGCAATCCAACAGCCTCGGCCTCCCAAAGGGTTGGGATTACAGGTGTGAGCCACCATGCCCAGCCTCCAAATTTAATTTTAAATGCTTGATAATTCTTGAGTCTGCATAATCTTTTTTTTTTTTTTTTTTGAGATGGAGTCTCGCTCTGTTGCCCAGGCTGGAGTGTAGTGACGCGATCTCGGCTCACTGCAACCTCCACCTCGCGGGTTCAAGCAATTCTCCCTGCCTCAGCCTCCTGCGTAGCTCAGATTACAGGCACTTGCCACCACGTCCAGCTAATTCTTTGCATTTTTAGTAGAGACGAGGTTTCGCCATGTTGGCCAGGCTGGTCC